TTGACTTTGCAAGACACATGCCTTAACTTAAAAGACAAGTTTTTTATGTGTGGGCTACATAGTTAGCTTGTTCTTCAAGCTACCAACATGTGTGGTACATAGACAATTTGTTGACCACATTTTTAATCTAAAAAGTCAATTAAAGACACCAATAAAGTCAAAGTAACATCTATGAAGCTTTTAAAAAGCTTCTATAAAAGATATTATGAAATTACTCTATTTTTATCTACTTTTATCTAAATCATATACATAATTATTGATTTATATGTGTATGTCCATACTATACTATATAAAAGATTAAACAAGAAGTTGAACAAAAGAATTTCAACAAGAAAGTTAGCATGAACTTAATTAAACCAAATGAATATAAAATTAGTACTAAAAAAGGTGATCTAGACTTCAAAGAGATGTATTATTAAGATTGAAGATCTTTTCTACCTTGACTCCAATATATATTAGATATTAGCAAGCTTCTCAAGAAGTTTTTGTATTAGTTAGAGATGAAACAACCTTAAGATCCCTCTTGGACAATATCCTTAATCTTCTTAGAACTTTCTAAAATCTATTAGAATATTTTGAGATCCTTCTAAAACCTCCTAAAATATTTTTAAAATATTTTATAATTTTTTATTAAAATATTATAATAATCTTTTTAAAACTTCTAAAATTTAATAGAATATATTTAATATATTTTTAGAATCTTCTTATTAGATGTTCATAATAATGTTTTCTATACATGGATTAAAATTCCACAAAAAAAGCTTCCAAACTATCTAATATTAAATCACATTGTTTAAAAAAAAAACAAAAATCATAAAAATATAAAACTTGAAAATAATATTTTAATAAACTAGACTTTTAATCTTTGACTTGCATAGCTTTAAGATTGAAGTTTAATAACTAATTGTACTTAATTAATGAATCCTTAAAACTTTGATCTTATGCCACCAAACTTCTTCAACAAGATAATTTTTGATTTTTTAATATTTAAACAATGTTCAGTTATAAGAAGAATAATATCATTTGATATGATTATTGAAGAAGCTCCAATCATTTCTATATCTTTATTTTTTGCTAATCTTGTTGCTCATTGTGGTGGTAAATTGAGTTGATACATTGCAAGCATTAACTACCTCAATTATTCTTTCATTTGTGTAATTGCACTTTTCATTTCAATAAGCTCTATAATAATAATAATAAATATATATATATATATATATATATATATATAATATTATTCAAGTCAAATAAAAGAAAGGACTTGAAAATACCACATTACAAAATTCTATGTAATGTAGTTCTTTTTGTGCAACCAATTGATCTGTTGATTACTAAGAGTTGAAGTGGTCACCATGATAAATGAAAGAAAAGATGAAATCTAGTGCTACTTTGTCTTTTTCTTTCATATTGTAATGAAAGAATGTATGTATTTATTGACACAATATTATATGATGGATTGTTGTCACATGCTAAACACATTCAAGGCTAAAGTCCTACAAGTTTTGGATAAGAATTGATAGATTATTAAGAAAGCTTGGAGTTCCACATAATGGTGTACTTAATATGGGTTTAACATATTAACAATTTTGCTTCTCCTTCTACGTCACAACAATAAGTACACCAAGGCCTCCATTTTTTCTTGTATACTTAAATGAATATTGATACAAAAAATGAGATTCTTATTTTAGCAAATCTTAAGAGTAAATATAAATGGAAGGAATCAGCTTTCAGTATCACTGCAAGGATAAAATTTAAAAACTTTGAGATGAACATCTAACTGATTTGACGACATCCAAAATCTGCAAAGAACACAACAATAATATAGCAAGTACAGGACTAGTCAGTAAGCACCAATTTTCATTCAAGATATTTACCAAATACAAAATGGAGAGAAATAAGTCGTGCTAGATGACGCAGCTTTATTAATTCAAGGTTCTTAAGTTCAAAGTTCAATCCATTTGACAGCAAACTAAATTGTGCACCTTCATGCTTGTAAGAAGGAGTACATTGCATCCCACTTTAGCTATCTCACAAGGGCCCCACCTCATTTGAATTGTCGCTAGATTTCGAGGAGTAAATCCTATCCGACCAATCTTGCACCTAGATTCTAAGTGAATATAACCTTTTGAGCTCATAATCTGGTGTTGTGAGCTCGCCCATGAAGGGACATCTAATTTATTCATTCTAAATATATTGCTCAAATCCTTCTTTGAATTCATTAGGGCTCATCCTTGTCCTGGGGATATCTTAGATCAGGCCAAGCTGCCGAATATTGTTAATTCTAGTTTTGGTACAGGAATTGAAGATCAGAGTCGATCCAACTTGTATCTTACTCAGGCTGTGCAGACTGAGAAGATCTGCAAGCAGAAGGAAAATTGATACCTCCCTGTCCATGATCAAATATACCACCACTCCAGACTAAGAATAAATATATTTGCTTATTATTGCAATAACAAAGAAACAAAAGATTAAGCGCGTTGGGTCATCTCAATCACCGAAAATGAACCCAACATATACAGGCGTGACCGAATGAGATCCTCTTCAATAACCACAGATCTTTCTCTTGTCCCAGAAGTTGCTCTGAAGCTCAAACCAACCGCTAGATCTTTGAAAATTATACTGCTGGTCAAATCAAGCATGAAATCCCAGAAATGCAACACTTGAGAAGAGGGGTGCCTACAACCCCTGAATCGTAAGATACTCGACATGAGGAAAGACGTATCTCTACATTAACTATGGAGTCTCCATTGCCGGGTGACTTTTGCCAAAATCCAGTTGAGTTTTAGGCTTGTCATTGCCGAGAGTTGTAATGATGTACCTGTGCATCTCTGTTGACACATGATGACGGCCCGGCATCAGATTGCCCAGCCTTGGACCATTCTGTATTGACTTTCATCGGGGAAATTGTTGTGGCGAAGAGGAGGCACTGCTTCCACTTGTCGTCTCAGGGGGGGCAAATTTTGGTCCTTAATACATTTGACGGAACGGATGAAGCGATTGTGAGTATGTTTCCAGGAGAAGTGTGCTTCTTGCATCTCTGACATTGAGCATGAGCTTCACTCTCGCCAATCTCACTCAGTGTCGCTGTACAAATCCGTCCCGATCTTCGGTTGGGATACACTTGAGGGGACGAATCGCAACCGGCTTGACACGGCACCTGAACGGGTATAACCATATAACACACAGCCAGGTCTTCCACGAAGAACATATCCGTGTCTCAGTCATGTATCCGGTTCCGGATAAGAACTGTGGTTAGGCGAGGCTGTTCAGTTCCGGATTTTTTGTGTCGCTGACTTGAGTTATTTTTAAGCTTCAATAACCAAGTTTATAAATAGCTCAGAATAAAACTGTGAAGATCGCCTGGCTGTAGAGGTTACGTGGTTGCTCGTGTAGGGAGTGGGTATGACAGTGAGGAAATAAATCCCATTTTTTTATATTGAGAGAAAAGCCTAGAGTCCACCGCATTGAAGTGGTAGACTTAACGAGTAGCATCTTTTTAACAGTGTGGAAGGAAACATGTGTAGCGGCTGGCCATCACAACTAGCCTTGATTCTTCTAATGAGTGGAGGGGGGTCCTGTCTGTGGTTGCAGGTTTTCTAATCATCGTAACTCGTGATGCCTGCCTCATCCTCCTAGGACCAACACTGAATGAAGATCGTGCGAGGGAGAGTGAGAGAGTGAGAGAGAGTGAGAAAGAGAAAGAGAGACTTTTGAAAGTCAACTCCGTCAGTTGGGACAGACAGCTTCAAAGGCCAACTCCATTCCCAAGGCGGTCTGGATCTCTTCATTCCCGAGAAAAAACCCCCCCTCCGATTTTCGATTTTGAACTGGGCTTGAGTCCTGTGTTCCCTCTGAAAACCTGGCCACAAAAGACACAGGAACGAAGCAAGTGAAAACGGTCTGCTCTACTAATAAGCTGAAACAGCTTTACTGTTCGCTATAAGTTGAAAGAACATTAAAATAAAAATAAATAAATAAATAAATCGAAAAGTCCCGTTGCATGTTTTTGTAATGCACAAGCAAAAAAATGTATCCCACCTGTTGTTTATTTCATAGTTTTTTTAATGTCATTTGAATCTTGAACGTTTTTGTTTTAGAACTATGTGAATTGGTAAGCAGTGTGTTAGTTTGTGAATGTGTGGAGGGTCTCATGTTACGGTTTGGTTTAACTTGTGACTTTTAACTGTATTCGTAGACGTGGATACAGAAAGATTCATAGAGAATTTCTCGAGCACTTCAAAAAACACATTCTTTCACGATTTAGCACTGTTCATATGCCCATTAAACTAAATCAGATTTGAGAATGACTTTTATTAAAGACTATATTCTTCTCCACTTACCTCATGAACAATCACACATGTTTCTTTTAATTATAAAATTAGTAAAGTTTGTATAAAATATATCCAATGAAGGGTCCTTTTTTTCTTTTTTCTCTTTTTTTTTAAAACTTAGTTGGTCCTCTGTGAGAAAAAAATAAAAAATATATATTTAAGTTTCCTATTAGAGATTAGAATTTTAATATCTAAAATAAAACCCCCTCTCTTCCTCCATTAGTTTTACTGTAGCCATGCCATGTAATTTATAGTTTTAACGTTGCATACTATTGTTGAAATACTAACATCAATAGCATTTTAAATTTGACTTAAAGTATCTGGAGTGAATTGATTAATACTGGCTGAAGGCGAATTAATAAGAAATGGAGATTTAGTAGGGGATCCGTTTTTTTGCCTTTTATGGGGGCATGCATGCATGCCGATGGAAATGGCGGGGGAGGGAGAAGAGCATTGGGGGGGGGGGGGCGTTGAATTTCAAACAGTTCAGACGACACACGATGAAAGCGACAGGACAGGCAAAATTGCCCCTGCGTCAGTTTGTGTGGGGAACGCGCGAGCAACTCGTGGAGAACGGTTCCTTCCTTGTTCAACCAACAACCCCCTCATTACTTTTTACTTTTTTGCCTGCACCGGCGCCTACGACTCCTGATGTGGCTCCACGCCAACCTCCAAGGCGTCCCTTCAAGCTTCCTGCCTCACTCCACAGTTCACCAGACTTTTAAGGTCTTAAGCACATCGCATTAGTTTGCTCAGCATCAGTACCGCGGTACTAGAAGTAATTTGCCTTCAGCCGTCATACTGCATTACGCTTCTCTTCATGTTTGAGACCGGACTGAGCGACTTTTGTTGAGCGAGGTTGATTGCGAGGTGGTTTGGCTAGCTTTGCTGGATGTGGAAGTGGCGGGGGCGATGAGGGGGAGAAGTGAGTACGAGAATTGAGAGGGGTTGTTGAAGGAGACGTGGATTGAGGTGAGTGAGCATTGATGGAATTTTTTATGTTTCGTGTAATTTGGTGCGGTGTGGCGGATTGAGAGGTCGTTACGTTGTTGCGGAAAGAAGAGGGAGATGTGATAGTAACTGTAACGGTTGATGGGGAGCAGTGGAGGTGGATAGTGGCGGTTGTTGTGAGAGCGACGGATGAATTAGAGTGTGAGGCTGCATTTAGGTTGAAGGTGTGTGGGATTGTGGTTAAGGAGAGTCAGGTTAGAGGAAATGGTGCAAGTGCACTTGGAAGCTTGTCTGCCGGATATCAGAGTGGCGCCTGTGAAAATGATAGGGGCATCGCAAAAGTCGCCTTGCAAGAGTGCAAATGCAGGGGTTAATTATGACCTGGGGTCTTCGCACAACAATACCAAGAATTTTCCCCGATCGAGGAGCTTGCGAGACGCGGGAGGGGAGGAGGATGTATATGAGGCTGAGTTCAGTGGCCCTACAGAGCGTGCTGCTTCTCGTGCTTCCTCGCGGTCCAAGAGTAGAATTGCAAAGGACGCTCGAGCGGAATTGCTTGGCCTCAATGACGTGCTGTGCAAAGTGGTGCGTCGTAGAGAGTCACGCAGCCAAAGTGCCTCAAGAGTTAGAGAGGGTTTGGACATCGAGATTGATCCGACAGAAAACGAGAATGCGTTCATTGAAGTTTCGAAGTCTGTTTCCTCCTCCCGCGTTGGGAATCGAAGCTCAAAATATAAAAGCGACTTGGTTGCAATGGGAGAGGCACTGCAGGATTCATGGGAGAGGGAGCCACGCAGCGCTCGCGCTTCTCGACTACTCAAAGTTAGTTCCGATGCACCAGAGAATGATGGGATATTGTATACAGCCCGGTCTGCCTCAAGGCTTTCTGCCGTAATTCCTTCTAGCCGATCTACAACTCCCCGCGCAAGCTCGAGAAGTTTGCGAGATCAAGAGGGATCGAGAGATTCACCTGATGAACCTGTCAGACAAGAGTTACGAAGCCCCAACTTGGTACGCCAATCGTCTGTACACGATTTGGATCATGATGATGACGGAACACTTGAGCACTGGAACAAAGTATCGTACCGCACTCCCGCCAAGGGTCTGCGATCAAGCAGAGAGAGTAGTGATACGCCTGAGGAGAGGCTTCTCAGTGTAGAACGTCATGCTGTGAAACAAGAAAGGAGTCCTAGGAAAACAATAGAAATCGCAGACAGGCAGATGGAACTTACACTATCCCACGCCGAGCGAGCTCCGGGAGGAAATGTAACGAAGGTGGACTTGGATTCACCTGAACAATATACAGATTGTACAGGTCTTCATAGAAGAACCAGGATTGCTCGACCGTCCAAAAAGAAGGTGCGGGATATCCCTAAGGATCCCGCTTCATTTCTCCCAGTCAGCCAACCTCCAGAATGTCTGATGACAGTGGTGCATCCCGTTGATTATGCAGACCCCCCTCTTCTGCCATCATCTCCATCCACCTCGTCAAAATCCTCAAGAGGTTAGTGAGTTTTATGTGGACAACATTCTCTCCCATGAGACGATTACACACTAACAGCGGCGTTTCAAATTCCCTTCTATCCTTCAGATCCTAGTTTTTCCCTTCATATCTAACAGTAGAGCACCACTTGTTGTCAGGTTCAGCACTAAAATATATCAACTTAGTAGGTTTCAAACTCGGTACCCTTTCCGCCTTACAGTACGATTTCTAATGGAAACTGTTTTGAGCAGAGACTGGTATCTCACGAAGTGTCGCCTGGCTCCGTATATTAGGTGTGATGTGCCACTTCCCTTTTGCTATTACTGACCGATACATTCAGGGATCCTTTTTGGACTTGGTTATCTTTATAGGAAACTTGACTCTCAGTTTGTAAAATTATCCTCTATATTTTTTGAGCTCAGACACACATACGTTCAGGCCTGATCCTGAGTTTTTTTTTTTACAACCTACAAATCAATGTACAGAGACTAACAATTCTTTTGGTTGGATTTCTCTTTCCGGATGTGTCACAGGGGATCTGATCATGTGGAAGGACGTTCCAAGGTCGGCTCTCTGGTTTGGTGCAGGAAGCTTTAGCATCCTCTCTGCTTCATTCATGAAGGAAATGCAGTTGGGGTGCGTTTTCCTTAATGTGATTGAATATTTCACAACATGCACAATTATCACATCCACTAAATTTCGCCACCAGAGCATGCGATTGGATGGGTTTAGTGCATTCAATCTGATCCGTATAGTTCCATCTGGGTCGCGTGCTGAACAGTTACTTCCAAGGTGCTTCTAAACTGATTTTGATAATTAGTCTCGGTTTGGGTTTGTGCAGGATTGTTTCTATATCTGCCAACTTAGCACTGTGCTATTTAGCAATAGTCTTCTTCTACCGAACATTCCTCAGCGGGTACTAGCTCGTCACATTTTTTCTCAACCAAATGCAGGGCTTGTTGCATTTGAAGTAGCTATGTTTTTAAGCTTAAGCTCAGTATACATTATGCTGAGACTGTCCAGAACCTCATTAGTTTTCGTCAGTGTTTTTAAAATTTTAGCTGAGACTCTGCAGAGAATTGGCTGGCTGCTACTGTTATTTTTATTGTCGTTATCTATTGTTGCTGTTGTTTTATTTATATGTTTTTGTTTGTATTTATACTTTAAAAGTTTATTTCATTCTTTTGTTTGCTTGTGTTACTTTTAGATTGAAATCTATGTTGGTACATTGATCTGGAAGGAAGTTAGATGTCTCTGATCAAGTTATTCCTAAGCTGTATAAATGCACAGGATGAAGTGTAATGCGAGTGTCTGGTGCGTTCGTTTAATTTTATGTCAATCTCCTTGACAGCATATTGATCTTGCAGGTCATCTGCTCAGTCACGTTCTGGACAACTTAAGTCAAGTGGAGTCACTGAAGCCGACTTCCTAGGTTTGATTCGGTTTGTCCTACCAACTATCAATCTGACGTTGACGAAGTCTGGGGAGGTTTTCTCTGGTGACCCTGCCATCACTTTAAGGGTGGGTTCCTTTATTCTCATAAAATTGTACTACTGGAGTCTTGCGGTACTGGCTGACTTATACTCGTTCTGCGTCTTGCACCTGTCATGCTTAAAAATGGAATCTTGGGAAATGATCTTAGTCGCCAGGTATTGTCGAAGTGTCCACCTGGTATGTGGGTCTAGGCAAGTTCTCAACAGCTACACTGATAATCCTTCTGCGCTTTTCAGGTAGCATTAGTGCTCTGGATGGTTGCAAAAATGGGAGCGGGTGTCTCAGTATGGAGCTTCTTACGTTTCGGTGAGTCTCCTTCTGACCTGTTTTATTAAGCAAGTAGACGCCCTGTTTCAGTGTGCAAAGATCGTTATTTTTCAGCATTAATATGAGAGTGTATGTAATAGTTTTGAAACTTGGCATTGGTTAGCCATGCGTAGTATGACCTGCCACGTATTTGAACCTGTGGATTTTATGATGCCGATATGGTACGCGCCTGATTTCTGGATGTGTAATGTTTCTCTTTGTCGACTGGGTTGAACACTTTTCTCAGTTCGGGTACATCTAGCTGTGTTTGCAGGCTTCTTTGCGCTTTTTACAATTCCGAAATGCCAGTCCTGCTACTCAACCCAACTATATGCATTTGGTATTGTTTAAACCCTTTTTGAGCTTTGCTTTTGCGACTTAGATTCTAGTGTAATAGATTAATGAAGTCATTTATTTATTTCTGAGTAGCTGCGTATGAAATGAGAGCATGGGTGAATTCTGTGACGGACCTGTGTTTGAGATTCACAGAGTAGTCAATTTGAAGCTACAAAGAAATTTGGGTTTCTCCATGAATTTAGTAGCAATTTATGATTATTGACGTCCCTGATTCTTACTTTGTGTTTCCCTTTTGTCATCCTGATTGGAATGACAAGTAAATCGTCATTATTGTTATTCAGGCGAGGTTGTCGCTTGATGATTACATGCTGACGTTGTTTGTTGACCATCATGTGGTACAGTTCAATCTCTTCTTCTACGTGGATGGATGACATGGGACTCATTCACTCACAAGAAAGCGATTTTAATAGGCGGTTTTATATTCGCTTGGAACATATCCTCATACTCATCTCGCCTATGGGGTGGTAAGCCTCAAACTGGCTTTCGTATTTGAAGCTCGCACGAGTTACACTTCTTTCAGCACATTCACAGCAGAACTTATGAAATCATCTTGGTATTTTGACTTGGTGCAGGCTTTATTCTCGTAGTTTGGTTTAAGTTATATCAGCAGTCAAATCCAGCAAGATTTGAGAAGGCTCTAGCTGATATGGGTGGTAGTAGTGCCATTGACCATATAGACCGCAAGAAGAGCTTACAGCATGCCATGATGGTATTCCAGGTGTGATTGTCTTGTGTCTTTTATACGCTTCTAGATCTTCGTTGGACTGGCTTTATTGAATGCCTTGCATACTACTTTAGCATGCAGTAAGAATTTATTAGCTGTCCTGTTTTTCGAGCTTTTCTCAGGTCTTTGTTGCTCTGCTCATTGACAGGCTTCTCAAGCTGTGGCCGTATCGGAAGAGATTTCTTCGACTCAAAGCCACCCAGTCCAAGAATTTCCAGGTTCAATTTCCTTTTTAGACTATTATTATTTTTTTTTTTTGAAGTTAGTGTGAATCACTGCTTGATGGTGTCGATATTCTTTTGTTATTTTTGAAGGTAATACGAAAGGCTTAAGTGAAGATAAAAAAGTGGATAGTGCTGCGTTCAAAGCTTAAGGAGTTATCAATCGTGCAATTCTTCTGTGACGTCAGACGAGCAAATACATTCTCAAAGGATCACTACTGGAGGCTATTACATTGTTAGGTCGAGCCTTGGTCTCAAAAACAGACATCAATCGAACTATCTCTGATTTCACTATGTTAGAAATAGGTTTACCTGGTTCAAATCTGGCACAATTTAGCCCCTCTTTCGATACTGTGGACTCGATCAAACTGTACATAACCCCCATCTCTGCAAGATCTTTAATTTACATTTCCCCTGATATGGATCTCATTCAGGCTGCTGCTAGTTGACAGATGAAGCTTAAATCCAGGATAAGCTTATCAAAATATATCAAGCTGAAGTCATTGTTCATCTCCTAACCGCAATTGAAGAATTTTTCTAAACAATCCGAAGCTCTTGCTTGGACTTCTCTTACAATAATTTTGGCATTGTCTCTTATTGCCCTGGTCTAGCGAAGTTGGACAATTGAGTAACATGGAAGGGCTTCTCCATACATAACTTCCGGAAAAATCCGTAGTGCAAATCGATTATCTAAAATTTGAAGAATCATTTGGCAAGTAATTAATTATAGTGTAGATAATACTAGCTTTTTCCTTACTAGCCATTGTTACTGTTGGCAATTATATTCTCAAAGTACAGCATGAGAGCATGCAGTGACGAAAGGTTGAGGCAGAATCGCAGACAGAACGTCCGAGTATATTGATTGGCACAGAGCCAGTGAGGACATGCAAACTCTCCACTGGGGAGTGAAATCGTCAACATTCCAATTAAATAAGAACCTTGGTCAAGAAGCCTCAATGTCACCAACCCATCAATCTGATAATACCCGGCGCCAACATTCTCATGCGTCAAACAAACCCGGCGCTGCCTTGTCACACACCGGAGACAGTTTCGACATACATGAAGGATAATGCCGAAGCCGACTGACCTAGTCTGCACAGTTATTGGGATTTGCTGAAGTGGTGGTCATATCCACAGCTCGAGCACACCGAGCTTAACTGGTCCACTTTCATGCAGCCTGAATCAAGAGACAAAACAAAAGCGTCTTCAAGCAATCCACAATCAAAGGATCCATAATGAAGCACGGTCACTTCACTCCTTAATTCGGGGAACATGAAACTTGCAAGGAAGCCGCTTAGCTTGTGGTTGTCAACTGTGACATTTCACCGTCGCGTTTGTCAACATCAGTCGGCTCCAGCCGACTGTGCACCTTGCTAATGGCCGCTTTTCCGTATCTAATTTTGAGTTGGGCACAATTTGTAGTGCTTCTGCCTCTGAATTGCTTTCTGTGGTGAATTCCTAACACTAGCAGGCTTTAGCTGCGATGATTTTGCAACATACTTTTTGCACGTACTTTCGAGAGTTCTGACCATTCTTTGCGCAATGCAGTCTTCGGAGATAGTTGCAACAACGCAGACTTGTGACGGGGACCGAACTTACCAGTTTTTCGTCCATTTTCCGGTCCAGCACCAAACCAAAATGGGGTGAGTGTGTGCCAAGAGTCACTAAGAAAACCTGCATAATATCTATTAGGTTGTTTCTTTAAATTCTCATTGCAAGAGGTATTTTTTCTCACGTATGATTAATATTTACTTAAGACTAATGGCCAGGCCTCTTTAAATTTGGGTTTCCCTGAAATACCAAATTTAGCTCATTTTAGGGTTGCGGCTAGGTTTTATTTCAGATAAATTAAAAAGGATGAAATTCATCTATAGGACTATCTAAAAACATCCATCCTTGTCAAATTTGATAGACTTTATCAAATTGTTTAGAATGTAGCATACTTTTAAGTGAAGTATTATTAATATTCATCTCATTTGACGTGAAATTATATTTGCAAATTGGAGTACTTGTCAATAATGTCTTGGATAGTCATCTCCTTGCAATAGGCATATACTATGGCTCAATAGTCATTCTCAATATCTTCAATGGATTGACCATTCTACCCAACTAATTCCAACTTTATCTTGTATTGATAGATGGAAATGTATAATAAAGATATTTATAGTGCATACAAATTGTGGGGTAGCACTTTTGGAATGTCCTTGTCATTAAGCATTATTGTTCCAATCGTGTTGGATAAGAATGGATGTAGTGTTGTTAACAAGTCCATTATACAAGATTGCTACATTATGAATTGCAGTCTTGATTGTGGGCAGTGAAGCTATGAGGCTCATCATGAAGGTGCCTTGATTTTGAATGAAGGCCTTTGCACTCGTGAGAGCCACACACCGAGATGCTTTGATGACCAAATTTGATGCCTCATAAGCCATGGTTAGAGTCTCTACATTGTGCGGACTTTGTATTTTGCATAAATCTACCAAAGACTAAATCTAGTCTTAGAGTTGGACTTTCTATTAATTCAAAAGGGTACTTAGTTCTTGCAAGTGTATCACGGCAATAGAAATCACCTCCGCAACGTCATCAAATGTGAACAATACCACTAACCAAAAAGAAATAAGGATACATGCAAGTAGCTTCTATATGAAGTATTATCATATACGTATGTATTTATATAATTAAGAAGTGTTAGATAGAAGATAAATGTAGGTAAATTCAATGTTATCTTATGGCAAAGCTTCTTAAAAGCTTCATAGATGTATTTTTTACTTTAAATGGTCATATTTTGTGAAGTTTATTTGAGAAAGCACCATGCACTTGGCTATGAAAGATAAAATACTGCTTATAATAAAAAGATCCTAATAGCTCTAATAGAATCTTAAACAAACTTGAATTAAATTTTAAAAATGTTAATCAATCTTTAATTAAATTCCAAAATAAGTCTCAAAGAATTTAAAAAAAAAACACAAATAAATCATAAATTAATCTTAAAATAATATATATAATATTTTTTTTAACAAATATCAAAAAAATCTTAAATAAATAATAAAAATAAAAATCCTAATTGAATCTTAATCAAGTTTTAACATAACTCTTAACAAATCTTTATAAAAATCTAATCAAATCCTAATCAAATTTTAAATCAATTCTAATCAAATCCTAAATAATTTTAAGAAAATTTTTAATAAATCTTAATCAATTACTATAGCTATTTTAAAACCTCAATAAATAATAATTGAATCATTGATCTTGACAAAAATTTCATCCAAACTTTAATCTTCAATTAATTTATAATTACACAAAATTTTAGAAAAATTAAACTCACCAATTAAAAAAAAAAACTCTCAAAACTTCTCAGATGTTAGCCACCCTACTTCTCCAACTTGAATATTGATGTTCCAACACAAATTTCTCCTTGCAAAGCTGTTTAATTGCTCTAAAATTTGGCTAGTATATAATCATTAAATTCTAAATTTAATCACCAATTTTTACATCAATCAAACTAATTGATGTGGCAAGATTGTAAAAATCCTCACTGCTTCTAAATTTTAATTATCTAAGACCATAATCCACAAAATCTCTCATAACCTTCAATTAAACAATTTAATTGGCATAAAATTTCTCACATACATTTATAACAAACACATTAACCAATTGAAAATTTTTCACTTATAAATATGATGCAATACTTATAAAATCATCAAATTTATGAATTTCTTTTTATTTCTTAAAATTTAAATCTAAAAAATAAATCTTTCATTTTGAAAAGCTTTCAAAATTTCAATATATCTTCAAATCACATGAAAACAATTTTCAACAATCTTTTCACTAGTTAGTTCTTAAACACTACTTTGCAATTACAAAAAAATCCTAGAATCACTGTAGGTGCATGGTTTTGTGTCTTGGAGTCTAATTTTGACCTTGGTTTATAATTGGTTTCCTTTGAGTATCAATTCTTAAAATTTTGAGATAATTTTTACTAAAATCTATTCTTAACTCTGCTCTATATTAATTATTTATCTTCTTTATATTGATTTGGATCATTTATGCTCCTATAAAGTAAATAAAAGTCTCTTTTAAAAGAAGTCAACATTAACATTTATTAAATTTTACTACTTTCTTATCTATTATCTATGTTCTTAAGATAATTTGTTAAAATAATTTTATTTAAGATCATCTATAATAATTTTTTTTTCTTCTTTTACCTAATAGTAGTATTATTATATAATAACATGATTATAATTGATTGGTAGATTAGAAACTGGGCTAATAAAATAGCTATGTGTCACATGTGCCAATAGTTTGAAGAATGAGCTAATTTTTTAGTGCACATATAAGAAAATTGGCTTATAAGTTGGACATGTGTTGTGCAAGTTAGACAAATGTCAGAGATTTTATAGAACGATGCCATGTAGCTTCAAGTTAGATAATATATATAGAAGCAAGTGTAAAGTCTTTTTTTATTCTTATCAATGTCTTTTTAGTCCTTAGTCTTATTTCAAGACTTTTTAGTCTTCTTGTCTTTGGCAATAGCTATTTCAATTTAAATTTAATATTAGTTTTGAATGAATATCTAATAATTTTGAATTACACAAAATTATATTGAATTTTTGGTTCTTCTAGATTTATATCCTTGATATTTTGAAAAGAATGTTAATTCATTATTTTTATCTTTTTTTAAAAGTGAATAGACTATCCTACTTCTATTATTGTATTTTGAAGATTGTGGGCTATCTAACATTTTGATTTCCTAATAATATTTTTTTATGTAAAAATATAGACTATCCTCTTTGTCAAAATTTTCATTTGATATTAGAAGTTATGAATTACATTCTTTTAATTTGACTTATATATTTGTTTGAATTATCTATGGAAGAACAAATTATGGATACTACTTTCAATAGAAGTAAGAATAGATTTGCAATCATCACATATCTTTGCCAGCTTGTTAATATTCTTAGGATAGAAATTTTACATATCTCTAATATCATTCATGGAAGTAGTATTCCAATATCTATAGAAGAGGTCAACAATAAAAATCAAAGTCTATGCCAAAAAATTGTGCAATTGATAGAAGCAAGTAGATCAAGTTCACAACTAAATCCAAAAAGTTTTGCTATAATAAATATGACAAAGGCAAGAATAAGTATATTAGAAAAATTTGATGGAACAAGATCAAAGTTTTGAGGATTTCTACAACAAATAAAGTTCTATCTAAGATTGCATCCTTCTAAATAACATGATGGATTTACTTAAGTTAGATTTATAGATACACTTCTTTCTTAAAGCACTCTTTTTTAATTTGTAATTTTGATAGAAAAGAATTCACAACTACTCTATGATTTAAATTCATTCTTAAAAGTCTTCATAGATACATTTGAAGAAAATAATTAGAAATGGATAATAGAGACTAAACTTATATCTTTATAATAAGAATCATGTTTGACCACCATATATTCTATTGAATTGCAAAACCTCATTTGTAATGTGGATTGGAATAATAAAGCTCTTATCAATCAATTTTGGCATGGATTAAAAATTAACG